AGTTTGTGAAGTGTGTCAGTTGTCAAAACAATGTAGAACTCTTTATCCAATTTCTAGTAATGGAATTCAAGCTCCTTTTGATTTGGTCCATTCTGATGTTTGGGGCCCTTCACCTCTTGTTTCTGTAGATGGCTTTCATTACTTTATCAGTTTTATTGATTACTATTCATGATGCACATGGATCTACTTGTTAAAAGGACGTGATGAAGTGTCACAGATAACCATGGCATTTTGTAAAATGATTGAAACTCAATTCGACAAGAAGATTAAGCAATTCCGTTCAGACAATGCTACTGAATATTTTGAAAGTTCCTTGAACCTGTTCATGGAGGATGTAGGCATGCTACACTAGTCATCTTGTGCTAGTACCCCTCAACAGAATGGGGTTGTTGAGCGCAAAAATAAACACTTATTGAAGACAGCTCGAGTTTTACTATTTCAGCAAAAGGTTCCCAAGCACTGTTGGTCTCAACTAGTCATTACCGTATCATATCTGATAAATCGGATGCCATCTAAGGTGTTGGGTATGAAAACTTCTTTATCTGTCCTTTGCCCTAATCTTCCAGACTTTCCTCTTCCACCTAGAGTCTTTGGTTGTGTATGTTTTATTCATGTAAAGGATCCAAAGAAGACCAAGTTGGATCCTAGGGCTATGAAAGGAATCTTTCTAGGGTATTCTCCTACGCAGAAGGGTTACAAGCGTTATGATCCCGTTACCAAGAAGAAATACGTCACAAAGGATGTGGTATTTTTTGAGTCTCAATCCTATTTTCATTCTTCCCAAAATCCTCTTCAAGGGGAGACTAGTGGGATGGAAGAGGATTCTTCTTCTCCCTCTTTTTTTGTGCCTCTTTCAGCCTCAAGCCTTCCATCTTCTCCTCCTGGTCCTCCTAATTGTAGCATCCCAGGTGAATCTAGTGAGGCTTCCATTAAACCTGTTAACACTAGTAGACAACAAAAACATATGAGAATCACCTACAACAGAAGGAAAAAAGACCCTCCAACTCATGGCAGCAACCAATGGGACTCGGATCAAGCTGCCTCAACAACTCCAGGTAATCTTATCACCCACACTTCTGATTTGGATCTCCCTATTGCTCTTCGTAAACCTACCCGTTCTTGTACTATCTGACACCCCATTGCTAAAAATGTTTCTTACTCACGTTTATCTCCTCGTTACTATTCCTTTGTGCCTTCTCTCTCTTTCGTGCATGTCCCTACTAGGTACTCAAAGGCAATGTCTGATCCAAGATGTAGAGAGGCTATGAATGAAGAAATGAAAGCCATAATGAAAGCCAGGACTTGGGAATTAGTGGATCTACCAGAAGGGAAGAGCACTGTGGGATGCAAATGGGGGTGTTCACTGTGAAGCATAGGGAGGACGGGTCCATTGAAAGATACAAGGCTAGACTAGTGGCAAAGGGGTTTACTCAAAAAGAAGGGATTGACTACAAAGAAACCTTTGCTCCAGTTGCAAAGCTCAACACAATCCGGGTTCTATTGTCATTAGTTGCAAACTTCTCATGGGAGCTACATCAGTTGGATGTGAAGAACACTTTCCTAAATGGCGATCTACGTGAAGAGGTATTCATGGATCCTCCACCAGGTTATGGTTTTGATGGGAAAGTGTGTAGACTGAGGAAAGCATTATATGGTCTTAAGCAGTCTGCTCAAGCTTGGTTTGAGAAGCTCTGTGGAGCCATGAAGAGAGTGGGATACACTCAAAGTGGTGCARATCATACTTTGTTCATAAGGAAACAAGATAGTAGACTTACGGCACTCATCATCTATGTGGATGATACGGTGATTATAGGGAATGATCTAGAAGAGATAAAAAAGATTGAAGGAGTTCTTGGCATCTGAGTTTGAGATCAAAGACTTAGGCCATCTGAGATACTTCCTTGAAATTGAAGTTGCTAGGTCACAAGAGGGCATCTATATATGTCAACGGAAGTACATCCTTGATCTTCTAGAGGAGACAGGTATGATGGGGAGTAGACCAACAGATACTCTAATAGAACAGAATCATTGTCTACAAGAATCAATTGGAGAGGACTACCTTGATAAAGAGAGATACCAAAAACTGGTAGGGAAATTGATATATCTGTCTATCACTCGACCAGATATTGCTTATGTTGTACATGTTGTCAGCCAGTTCATGCACTCTCCAAAGATTCCTCATATGAGAACAGCGGAAAGGATTCTTAGGTATTTGAAGACTTGCCCAGGAAAAGGAATTCTGTTCAAAAAACACAATAAAATTGAAATTGAAGCATATACTGATGCAGATTGGGTTGGTTCTATTGGAGACAAGAAGTCTACTTCTGGGTATTGCACATTTGTGGGAGGGAATTTGGTTACATGGCAAAGTAAAAAGCAAAATGTGGTTGCTAGATCAAGTGCAGAGGCTGAATATCGAGCTATGGCTCATGGTGTTGTTGAACTATTGTGGCTTAGGACCCTTCTTGGTGAGCTCGGGATAAGGGTCGAGTGTCCTCTCAGGCTATAGTGTGACAACAAGGCTGCCATCAATATTGCAAATAACCTAGTGCAACATGATAGGATGAAGCGTATTGAGATTGACCGACACTTCATTAGAGAAACGATAGTCTCRGGGGAACTTTGCATTCCTTATACTCCTTCCGATATGCAGATTGCAGATAAGCTAACAAAAGGACAAGCTTCAATGAAATTCTTAGATTTACTTAGCAAGCTAAACATGACTAACATCCATGCTTAGCTTGAGGGGGAGTGTTGGTTCAATTGGTTTAGTGTTTATGTTAGTCTTATTTATGTTTTAAGTTCTTAGTTATTGGGCCTAAACTTGTTTTATTCTTTTTATGTCTAGGTGTCCCATCAATATTAGGGGCATTCTAGTCCATTCTTGCAACATTACTTTGTAAACATCTATATAAGATTATAGGGCCGGTTGAAGTGATGAAGCCGCCATTCTCAGATCTCCTTCTTCTTCTTCTTCTTCTTCTTCTTCTTCTTCTTCTTCTTCTTCTTTGTTTGTTGACGTTTTTTTTTTGTTTTGTTGGTACAAAATTCAGAAAAACAAGTTAGAAATGACTATAGTTTACTATGAGTTATGACTTATGATAGATCTTTTATGTGCGGCAAACAACAGAGAGGAGATGAATAAAATTTTCAAAGAACATAAAATAATGCTATTGAGGTTTTAGTCTTTCTAATTATGATTAAGTGAAGTAATTATCTTAAAATAAATACATGATACTATGTGGTGGGGGCTATACAAATATCAAGCATCTAAACCAATCAATGTATGTTATATATAACATATAACATATATTTATATATGACATGTACTACGGAGTCGGAGTCGGATTCGGGTTGGGTTGGGTTGCCTAAGGGGTCAACCCTAACCTAACCCGAAGTAAAGTTGGGTTCATGAATTTCAACCCTAACCCTAACCCAAGCATCAACCCGACCCAACCCAACCCAACCTTTTCAGCCCAAGTTGCAGCCTTAGCAGCAGGAATCCACTATAATCAACAACGGAATACATTATGAACAGATTCTCTCAAACCCTTGAACCCTGTACACCCAAAGCCCTCTCTCTCTCACTCTGTCCCGTGTAACACTCATTTCGAACCCAAGGGACAGGTGCAGTATATACAGGACCCAAGCCCTTTGCATCCACCACAAACCTCAATGAATTTTCCCCTTCAGTTCCTTTTCCACAAAAGTTGAGTTGGGTCATGGAGCGGACTGCAAATGGAATTCAAAGCATACACAACAATCACAATCCGATTTCTTGTACTTGAGCCCAACAGCTGAATGAGAAATAGGAATTGCACATATTCCTTGGAAAATGAAGAAAACATGTATTGAATCAGTAATGAACTAAATCATGAAAATAGATATGCATCCCACAAACAAGATCTAAAATGCCTTGGATTCTGGGGTTAGGCAGGTTCATTATTTCCAAGTCCCCATCTTCATCACTAATCAAAAGGAATTACAGATTTTAACATGACTTTGCAATTAAAAATGTTAGCAGATGGCACAGAATAACAGAACAGAAATTTTCAGAAGAGCTCCAAATTCTAGAAAGTTGTCAATTCAAAAACTAGCACACTGACAGTCTGACTATCTAGCAACACAAAGGGTTGAAACTCAAAAAACTACAAAGATCCATTTGATTAACCTATATCACCATTTATTCAGTTTCACTGTTCTTATACCAAACAGGCTTTGACAGATTAAGACCTAGAGAAGTGCATATGTTTTGGTTTCTTCAGTTGATCACAATCATTGCGACCCTTGCAAAACCAATTCTTAGTATAGTTGATTATCCACTCCAAAGTAGGCTATAGAAGGATATTGCAGCAAACTATTAAAATCAGAATATCATATTCATATCTGACTGTATGTGTCAATAATTCATCACTTATATACAAGATCAATGGTACAGTCATGGAGTCCTTGAATTCATCATAAGAATTACTGAATGTAAACTTCATAGCCCCTTGTTTAAATGTGTAAAAAGTGTGAAAAGCTTTTTCATGTTCTGTGCATTTGTGATCTCAAGAGTACTCCCCCTTGATGCTAAAACTGATCCTACATGAAATACTGATGAAAATAATTAAAATGAAGTCAGCAAGTTGTTTATATGTATGGCTGTCCTTTAAGGGAAAATTCTTACTTAACAACTAGTCTCTGTAATAAATATATCTACACTACACAATATAAAAATAATTGATTCATATGTTAAAATAATGCATTTAGACTACTAACTAATATACAGAAAACTAGAACAAAAGAAATGATATCGTACCTAGTGACTTCTAAATGATCCAATAGTCCCAATCTGAGCATATATGCATAATGAAAATGAGCAGTAGGGTAACACCAGAAATATGATCTGGAGGAAGAGAAGCAACAGGCATTGCTTTGATGGGTGCTTATTGGTTGGTAATGATCACATGGTTAATGAGGTTCAGCTGTGATATTTGAGATCTACTACTACTACATACTTGGGCTCATTAAGACAAACGCTGAGCAGAAAGCTAGCTCCATACGTGTGTTCATATCAGCAGATAGCAAATTCAATGCAACTGGAGTTGGGCCCTGTTTTTTTTTTAATAAATGAGAGTACTTTTATTGAAATAAATATCAGAAATACAAGCAGCCTAGGAAGAGGCACGAGATGTTACCTCCCCAAGGACTGAATCATAAACACTAAACATGCCCAAACCAGAGATACAAATTGCAAAGTAGCCCAAAGCAGATCACCCCTTGCTTGGCCAGAGAATCAGCCATTGCATTTGCTGATCTGCTAACCCACTGGAGTGGGCCCTGTTTCAAATGAAAACAATCAAAAAATCCACAATTATAGAACATAAGTACAAGTATTAAAAAGAATCAAAATTTATATTAAATTGCTGAGACATGTTTTGATCAAAAACAGTAAATAAATCCACATTTAAACATGTTTTCTTTATGAGAGATTGAGAGGGAGGTGTTACTAGGATTTGAATGTTGTGTATAGATTAATTGGATAAGAAAAAAAAAATATGGCTAGGCTTCTTATTTAGGAAAGAATGGATAAATAAATGTTAGTTCAAACTAGAAGCATGTGTACAATGGCATAGTCCCCACTCTAGTCTTGCAATTGATCAAATTAGAAATTAATATCTATCTATCTATCTATCTATCTATCTATCTATCTATCGATCGATATATATATATATATATGAATCAAAATTTAAGATGTTTCTAAATCAAATACAAAACCACAACATAAAGGCTTTAAAGATATTATATAAGTACAGTATGTCCTATATCCTATAGTGATTAAATCTAATTTAGTCTCTTGATCAAATAAAAAACCAGGCCTAAACACTAAAGAAGATTGCAACATGGATGGTGGACAGTGGATACCAAACATAGTTGCTGCCTACTCAATACAAAATCAACAGCCAATAATCAACTAATTAGTTCAGCTCTGATCTTCGAATACAACAATAGATAGATAGAGAGATAGATCAGAATAAAGTAGAAGCACTAAAAAATTTTGAGATTTGGTGTTAGACGGTACTGTTGAGAGATAAATTTTTCAAATTAAAAGTTATGAAGTTAATGAGAGTGAGATGTTTCATACTGATGGATATATACATGTGAAGTTACAGGTTATCCAATCAAAGATAGTAGAGCAGATTAAGTGTTGTCACTGTAAGTATTCAATAGAATAAAGATAAGGGTGATGAGAAACAACCAGATGGTTCAGGGTTCTCTATTTATAAGTCCCCTTGTAAATCTAATTAATGGAGCAGGAGTGGTGTTTATTTCTTACCCATACCATACAAATTTTGTATGTAGATGCCTCTAAGAAATAGTAACTGTTGGATCTACATCTACCTGCTACCAAAGAGGACAACAACGATATTAATACAATTGGAGCTTGGATGGAGGAGCAGTTATAAATTAAACTTAATTGAATTTAAAACATATAGTGGGTTTACATGAGAGAAGATGAATACATACCACCTATTGATGCAATGCTGTCAATATCAGATTCATGGTGCCACATCAAGAAGAGAGATGAGAACATCAGAGTGAAGCAGGTAATTCAATAGTGGGAATATGAGAAATCTTGGGCCAATCTTCCCCTCCCTCTTGCAGCGAACTCCTTAGTTCATCAGGGCAATTATAAATAATAAAACGACGGAGGCTGATGGGCAGCTCCTCCTCCAAAAGGGGCTTCATATTATTAGACCACTCTATATTCAATGCTAGTAGAAAGTTGAGCTTGTGGAGTCCCGTGGACAAGGAGGTCAGACGGGGACATCCCAAGATTGTCAAATTGCAAAGAGAGACAAGGCCTTGTAACTCTGTCAATGATTGAAGAATAGGACAATCAATGATTTCCAAATTCTGAAGAGATGTAAGACCTTGTAACTTTGGAAATGATCGAATCATAGGACAATTGAAGATTTTCAAATGCTCAAGGGATGCAAGACTTTGTAACCCTGGCAATGATTGAAGAATAGGACAATTGGTGATTTCTAAATACCAAAGGAATGCAAGACCTTGTAACTCTGGAAATGATTGAAGCATAGGACAATTGATGATTTTCAAATGCTCAACGGACGCAACACCTTGTAACTTTGGCAATGATTGGAGCATATGACAATTGATGATTTCTAAATAACAAAGGAATGCAAGACCTTGTAACTTTGGCAATGATTGAAGCATAGGACAATTATTGATTTCTAAATATCGAAGGAATGTAAGACTTTGCAACTCTGGTAGTGATTGAAGCATAGGACAATCACTGAGTCTCAGATCCTGGAGAGATGTGAGACCTTGTAACTCTGGCAATGATTGAAGCATAGCACAACCATTAATTTTCAAATCCTGAAGAAATATAAGACCTTGTAACTTTGGCAATGATCGAAGAAGCATAGGGTAATCATTGATTTCCAAATTCTGAAGAGATGTAACACCTTGTAACTCTGGCAATGATTGAAGAAAAGGATAATCATTGATTTCCAAATCCTGAAGAGATGCCTTGTAACTCTGGAAATAATTGAAGCATAGGACAATCATTGATTTTCAAATTTTGAAGAGATGTAAGACCTTGTAGCTCTGGCAATAATAGAAGCATAGGACAATTGATGATTTTCAAATGCTTAAGAGATGTAGGACCTTGTAACTCTGGAAATGATTGAAGCATAGCACAATTGGTGATTTCTAAATACCCAAGGAATGCAAGACCTTCTAGCTCTGGCAATGACTGAAGCATAGGACAATTGGTGATTTCTAAATAGCAAAGTTGTGAAAGACCTTGTAACTCTGGCAATGATTGAAGCATAGAACAAATGGTGATTTCTAAATATCCAAGGATTGAAAAATCTGGTAACTCTGGCAATGTTTGAAGCATAGGACAATCATTGATTTTCAAATCTTGAAGGGATTCAAGACCTTGTAACCCTGGCAATGATTGAAGCATAGAACAATTGGTGATTTCTAAATGTCGAAGGGATGCAAGACCTTGTAACTCTGGCAATGATTGAAGCACAAGACAAATGGAGATTTCCAAGCCCTCAAGCAATGCAAAAACTTGTAAATCTGGCAATGATTGAAGCACATGACAATCATTGATTTCCAAATTCTGAAGAGATGTAAGACATTGTAACTCTGGCAATGATTGAAGCTTAGAATAACTCTTTATATTTAACTTAGAAGTTGATGGAAGCCTTGGAAGAGAAGTCACCATATCACACTGATTGATTTCTACTTGTTTCACAGTGGGAAGGAAAGATGGCAGTTTCATCAATTTGGGACAATTCCTGATGCTAAGTTTTTCAAGGCAAGGAAATTCTCCTTCCTCTGTCCCCCACCATTCATTCAAACCAGTCATATATGAGAGAGATAAAATCTCCAACTTTTGAAACCCCTTCTTTTTATTGTTGTTATCACTATACCCATAAAATTCTTTACCCAAATGTTCCAGTTCCTTCATACCAGATATATGCAATACTTTGAGTGAAGGTAGATTCCAAAAAGGAGGAAAAAACTTGCACTTCTTACAATTCATTAATTTTACCGTTGCCAACATATCATAGCATGTGATCATCATCATCCATTTTGGAAAACTTATGCCACCATAATTATTTATTTTGAGTTCTTTCAATCCTGTGTATGGTTGTAAGCCCTCTAGTACACCCTCCATGCTACCTCTTTCATTATTATCATCCCATTGCAACTCCAACGTATCAATCTGATGGTTATTAATGAGGTTAGCCTCCTTGGCCTCCTCAAAGACAGCTACATTTTCTAACCCCCAAAGACAAATAGATCCTTGGAGATGACATAACTCTTTTAGCTCTCCTATCATACTATTGTTGCCATTGCTCTTTTTCACCTGAAACTTAGGCAATGTCTTCAAAAAATGTAATCTCCCAATGCCTCTTATTAGATTGAAAATTTCCCACTTGTTATCTTCCATCACTATATATTGGAGGTTGATTAGGTTTCCCATGTTTTTAGGAAATTCAATGAGGTCATTACAATCTTTAAGCATCAAAGATTGCAAATTGTAGAGGTTGCACAATGACTCGGGTAACACTTTAATGCCTGTCTGGTTGAGGTTAAGCAATTGTAGATGTTTCAAATTGCCTATTGAGTTTGGCAAATTAATCAATTTATAATTTTCACTCAAATCCAATACACGCAGGCATCGGCATTGTTCAAATAAGCCATCTAGGATATGCTGATCCCATCTTGATGTCAAAAACATCAATGTTGACAATTCCTTATATTTATATAATTCTTTTTCCACTGACTTTGGTTGGACACCAATCATTGATACGTAATGAACCTTCTCAAGATTGCTACTGCTATTGCTCCGTGTTTTGCTCTCCTCCATCCTAAAATACATGTCTTTTGAAACTGACTCTGCTAAACCATGCATCAGATCATGCATCACAAATCTGTTATCAAAATAATACTTTTGAAAAGATGACCTATTCAACAATTCATCAAAGTATTTGCCTGCAAGGTCTTCCATAATGCCAATTTCTTTGGGTGTAATGAAACCTTCTGCTATCCAAAGCCGGATTAGGTTTTCCTTATCAAATTTGTGATCTTTAGGAAACAAAGAGCAATATGCAAAGCATAATTTTAAATGTGCTGGTAGGTGATAATAACTCAAACATAGAGCTGGCATTATTGCCTCATCTCCTTCAACCTCCCACATGTCACTTTCTAAGACAGATTTCCACCTTTTCACATCCAGATCACCAAATAGAAGTCCTCCAAGTGATTTTACTGCTAGAGGCAACCCTTTTGCATTTTTTAACAAGTTCCTCTCCAATTTTTTTCAAGTTTGGATGCTTATTACAGATCTCATCATCAATAAAAGCCTTCCTTTTGAACAATTCCCCGCAATGTTCATATGACAAGGCTTCTAAATCAATTCTTTTTATGGCGCTCATAATGGAGGAAACTTTGTTAAACCGAGTGGTTACTATTATTCTGCTTCCTTTTTGTGCTGAAGCATTAATTGGAACCCTTACGGCATCCCACATTTTGCAGTCATCACTCCATATATCATCAAGCACAAGTAAAAGTTTCTTTCCCTTAAACCAATTCTTGAGTTCTTGTTGAAGTGGTTCCACTCGTTCTATTGCCTGGTGTTTACGGGTTATTGACTCAAGAATTGATCTAGTAATTTTTGTAACATCAGAATCCTGGGAAACACAAACCCATGCTCTCACATCAAAATGATAAACTACATTTTCATCCCTGTAAATGAGTTGAGCGAGTGCAGTCTTGCCGATCCCCCCAGTACCAACTATTGAAATAACGGGAACTTTTTCCCTATTATATATATCAGATAGTAAAACGTGCATTATATCTTCTGCATCTTCACTCCTACCAAAAATTTTATCATCAACTAGGGAAACACTCTGACTCTGAGGGCATGAACCCAGTAATGAAATAGCTTTGAGTTTCCTTTCCGTTTCATTAAGTTTCCTACCAATTGATGAGACCGAAGCCACACAAATGTGGTTCATCTTTTGTTGAACCTCATGCAACTCATTTTTTATGCCAGTTATGACAGCAGGAATCTCATCGCGACATAACAATTGCTTCTTGTTGAAAGAATAGGAGAAGTATTCGCAGCGTACCTTTCTGATAGCCCTAGAGGTGCTCTGTTTACTTTCATCATCATCATCATCAGCCCCCTCCAAACTTCGTCGTTGAGCTTCGTAGATGAACTCCCCCAATGTGTAAGTGGCTTTGCACACAACTTCTGTCATATCTTTGAGGAGCAATTTCAAGTGTGGATCTCTTATTTGCATATCCTCTGTAGAACTCGCCATTGCATGTGCCTCTTGGAGTGTTCTAAAGAGGTCAATCAGTTGTTCCTGAATGCCCCATTCAGATCCAAATTTGATCATCCAAGGGGAGTCCAATTGGTTGAGTAACCCCTCAAGCCATGGGGATACCACTACATCTGCTGTTGTTGCCATTAAAATCAAGATAGTCAGCCGATTGCCTTCGAGATGATGAGTAGTTGAAAATCGAAAGGATCACCCCCTTATAACCTTTGGCAACAATTCGCATCATTTCTTGAATTTCCCCGTTCTTTAATAATTAAAGAATCCACGCAATCGTTGAATTGTCAAAGCTCGCTCAAAATAGTATCTTCTCTGAAACGTAAAACAATTATTGCAAAGTTAAAATTAATTTTGCTTTAACAAAATGAAAGAAGAGTTTTTTTTTTTTTTTTTTGTACAAAATAGATGAAGGGATTATGATGAGTTGTAAATTGAACGTACGATTATTATGATCACCTGAAAAATGACATCTCTTGCCTTTGCTTTTTGGAAGGTAAATGGACGAATGATGAGCCGTAAATTGAACTTACGGTCAACTCATATTTTATAGAAATATCTGTTGTTGAGAACATCATGTTCTCTGCTATTTCGCCTTATGGTGAGGTGAAATCATCTAGATCTTTTTTATATTAATCTGATGAAGGCCCCTCGGCCAAATGGCATTTCTTTCAATTCTATCAGAGATGAGCTTGTTGGTTTTATACAGGAGTTGAGGAGGTATCGAATTTTAGGCCCATTGGGCCACAACATAGTTAAGGAGAGAACTGGTGAGTTCATATTAAAACTTGACTTGTCTAAAGCATATGATACAAAGGAATGGGAATTCATCCTCAAAGTTATTCAATTAAGGGGATTTATTTATTTATTTTGTTATTTGATCCATAATTACATCACGTGCTTTGCTATGTGCATGGTTCTTACATCTTAAATAAGTAGTGTGCAACTGTGCACTCCTATAGTCCTTTTCTATCCACAAAGAGGATTGTGGCAGGGCTCCCCTTTTCATCTTATATTTTTAGGGATTTTTGGACTGCATTCCCCTCCGAAATTGAAATTGCAGCCCCTCCTAATCTATTACTATAAGCTTCACCTAGTCTAATACTAGTTTCACTTAGGGGTGGATTGAACGGTTAAAACCCCATTCGTGTTGCTACTCAATGGTGTCTCTAATGGTGAACTCAATGATTGAAAGTTTGCAGATAATATTATTGTTTGTGAGATGACTAATATATATAAATAGGATCTTAACTATATTTATGGTTGTAATCACTTGTGGGCTCGTTCTCTACTTTAAATATATTGAACATGTCAATTCCTTTTGGAGTTTGCCAAGGAGGAATCGCCACTCAGATATTTGGGCAAGTATGCTTTAGTGTAGAAATTTAGTGAGAAAAGGTCTGCACTAGGTGGTTGGTTCGAGTTGGGATATCAATGTCCTCCATGACTTGTGGATTAGTGGTCGAGTCCGAAGTTCTTGCACAGTTGCACAAGCTAGAGTTACTTTTGATGGAAAGGTTGGGTGATTTGGAAGAATATATGTAAATTGGTAATGGAGGGTTGTACTTTTGATCCATATTGGATTTTACTTACCATTCAAGCTTCTTTGCAAGATTTGGATATGCTAACAGATCAAAGACCTCCACGCCCATTGCACCTATCCTTGATAGTCAAAGTTGGAGCAAACCCCCTAGCGGTTGGCTTTAAGGTAAACTTTGGTGGCGCCTCTAGGAGTATTCACGGGTCAGGTTGGATCGATTTGAGTCATTTTTTTCAACTGATCCAACATAGTCGGTTTATTTATTGACTAAACTAAAACAGATCGACCATGAACCAAAACTGACCCAAACAGGAAAGTCGGTTTATCGGTTTAGTCGGCTTTTATATATATTTTAAACTAAAATATCTATTTATATTTAAGTTTATTTCATTTTAGTTTTTATGAAAAATCAAAATATATATTTAAATCAATTAGTTTTTTATATAAAACTAATTTTTTTGTTAATATATATTTAAATTTATACAAAATTGAATTAAATATTGTACCATTGTATTATATTTGTATTGGTTTTACGTTTTTAGTTTTTGTCATAAATAACCATTTTTTTTTCAAATTTCAAACAAAACACAAAAAATATATATATATATCAACATTTAACATATAGGGTAAGGGACTACTTAATAATTACTTAAACATATAAGATTCTTCGGGATATTTTCTCTTCCCCGGCAAATTTTGCTTCCTTGTTCATGTAGGACACTCCTTAGTCGTGCTTTCCTGTCACATGTGGTGCTGACATGGCTTGAGAGAGGGCGACCGTAGAGGTTGCCACGTGGCATTCTTGACCAACTCAACCATGACCCAAATAGAAAAATGACAATAAGAGGGCTAGAACTTGCTTTTTAATTTTTATGGAACCTAATAAAGAGATTGTTTTTGAGGAATATAGTAATGCTAAAGACATGTTTGAAGCCATTAAAGAAACATATGGAAAAATAACTAAAACCTTTGTTCAACTTCTAATTGAGAAATATTGTGGTTGTGAAATGAGAGAGGAAGACACTGTAATGGATCATGTTAGTAAAATAAATGTGATTACTAAAGAGTTGGTAGCCATTCGGAACTCCATTCCTGAGAAAATTTAGGTCTCCACTATCATCAATAGCCTCCCACCTTCTTGGGATTATGTAGTAACAACTCTAAACCTATTTGGAAGAGAAGTTAGTATAAAAAACTTACCTACTTTGCTAGGCTTAAAGGCTAAAAGAAAGAGGAAGAAATCCCGATCTTCAACCTTAATGGTTACTGATGAAGGAAGATTTGGCCCGACCTCGTAACCACTCAACACGTGGCAGAGGCAATAGCTCGGCACGACAGTACGCCCAAGGCGCGAGCTCCGAAAGGAGGAACCAGCGGTCTGAGCTCCCCACAAGGAGCCCGAACTCTCCCTTTGACCCCGGGCCTTACAAGGAGCACAAAGGGCAACAAAACCCGAACTGGCCCGCCCTAGGGCAGTTCGGGCCACACCTCTATCCGAACTCAAGACTTCACCTCGCACACCACTCCAGCACTTCGCCTCCAGGATGCCGAACTAAACAACCGTACCTGACCTGACACCAAAGGAGTCCGTATCTTGAGGCGGCTCACCTGACTGACTTAGGATCTGACACTGAACAGCCGCACTTCAACGGCCACCTGCCACCGCCACCTCCAGTCATAGAGACGACTCCGACAAAGAGAGCAGTGGCGGTTGTCTGCCCCAGCAGAGGTGATGACACCCGAACTGGCAGAAGTGAAGAGGTAATGATACCCGACCTGACAGGAGCTTCGGAGTGAGTGCGCGAAGTGGTTATAAAAGGCTCCCTTCCCCCTCAAGAAAGAGGTATGTGATAACTTTGTGCCATTCGGTTTTTTATCTTGCCTTTGAGTAAATACTAACTTGAGCTTCGGAGCACTCTCACCGGGTTCATCCCCAGAGATTACTCGCTTTCTCCCCTGTTTCAGGCACCTTTTGCTCCAGCCTGAGGCAAGATCATTGACAACTAGGACCGGCCGGATTGCGCACCATCAATTGGCGTCGTTTGTGGGAAACGCTTCTAAAAGCCTCACTCTAAAACTCTCATAACCCCTTTTTTCCAAGAAACCCCAACACTCATGGCTTCTTCCAGCAATGTCGGACGTGGCACGGAGATGAACGCCACCGGGGAACAACTTCAAGTCCCCGTGGGGTGCATCGGACAGTTCACCATCCCCCTTCCGGTGGATGAGACCCCAGCCTGAGTACGCCACGAACAGTGGAGCCCGTGAACCTTCCCGTCATGAACGTCCCCCTTCCTCCTCTCCTTGTCGAGACAACCTTTACCGAACCAACTGTTGTTCTCCTAGCGACTAGCCAGAACCAGTTTGATGACTTGATGCAGTGCATGCGGGCAATGCAAGCCCAAATGCAGCAGTTCCAGCAACATCAGCTCCAGCAGCACCAAGTATTGCACCACATCTCTCAGTATCACTATCAACAGCAGTTCCCCCAACTGCCTCTGAACCAACCACAGCTTCCACCTCAGTACCCTGCTCCAAAGCCGGTTAAGCCCTTCCCTCAGGGCGGACGCCATCACCGAGGAGAAGCCTCCCAACTTCAGAACCCCCCCAAGAGCCAGGCCTCATCCCCGGGCCAGGGGAAATAAAAATCACCCCCGCCTCGTAGCTCGTCGACGGGTCGGGAACCTCGCCCACCAAGTCAGCACCTTGGCACTCCAAGTCTGAGCTCCCACCTATAGAGAACCGATTCAGCATCCTAGCGGCGGACTACCAACAGTCCGGGCCCATTGAGCTCAGCAACACAGAGGCCAGCAGTGCCAGTACCAGGCCCACTCAGCAACGAAGACGCCGGCGAAGTCGCCGAACTGCCATCCGTGTCCTGCCCGAGCTCCAAGGTAAAGAAGAGACAAGCTCGGATGAGGTAAAAGCTACCCCTATTCTCTCAGTTCCTTCCCCCCTCTCATCAAAACTCCTTGCAGTCCCCATGCCCAGAGATTTCAAACTCCCCCCTTTAGACAAATATGATGGGTCCTTCGACCCCAACGACCACGTCGATGCCTTCCAGTCCCAAATGCACCTAGCAAGGGCCAGTGAATCATGCATGTGCGTGGCCTTCACCACCACCTTTAGGGGGTGGCCCACACCTGGTATAGGAACTTGGCCCCCGGGTCAATAAGAAACTGGACCCATTTCGTTCAAGTCTTCATCGCACACTTCGTTACCAGCAAGCGGTGCCCCAGAACCGAGGAAAACATCTTCGGAGTAGTCCAGAGGGAAGGAGAGTCCATTCGGGGTAGACTTGTTCATGGGCCGGGTAGCCCGATAGCCCGACCCGCACCCCGGCCGGGCTTGGTCATATAATTAGGCCCGCGGGCCTGACCTCGGGCTTAACACAGTAAGCCCGATTGTGTTTCGGGCCGGGCTTGGGATTTGTCAAAAAAGCCCGGCCCAGCCCGACTCAGTATTATATATTTTATAAAATATATAATATGTATTTTATATATTATATAAAATATATAAATAATATAATATTTATTAAAATATATATTTATAATTTAATATATACATATATATTTTTTATTCTTTTCTTTATAAT